AGGAAAGTTCTAGAACTTATCCAAGGCCACTGGGCTAGAAATGTGTTCCCATCAGACCTGTGTCCCTTAAAGCCTATATTCTTAGCTACTCTATTGCCTTCTAGAGATGCTATTGAGCTCATTATGATTATAATTCTGAGGGACATCCCAATGTCAGCATCAAGTTCCTTCCATTCTAAGACATGTATTTCTCACCACTTTGGAAAGTTATGATATTGGAATGGTCTTCCACTTGGCACTGGTGGTGGTCCTACGTCTCCATCCACCTCTCCAGCCTAGGCTACTGCTAGGATCAGCAGATTGTTTTACTTTAATCGTGGCCTTATGGTCATTTAGGAAACAGCCCCTATCCTACAGCACGTCCTTCCTTCTGGCCAAACCAGTTGTCCTCAGCCATCGTTTATTCATATCACGCTGTGTGTATTCTTGGGTAACCTGAGTGGGTAAGTCCTTTTAATTATTTTTCTTCTTTTTATATATAAAAGAGTAATGTTGTTTAGTTGATTCTTTTTTTTCACTCGACTGGCTCTTTAAAGACTGAAGGAAGGGTTTTGGGCTTGCCTTGCTGCCACTTACGAAAATTTCACAGTGGTTGAGAACTAATTTCATCAGGAAACATTCTGAGCTTCAGTTAAAATGTAAAATGCTTTCTTTAGCCCCAGGTTAAAATAAAATTTCTTTTACTTTTCTGCAATAACGCCAACAAGGAGATATTGCCAGGGGCTCGAGGGAAGCCAATTCTATAGCTAAACAAATCGATGGTAAATCTACTTGCCAAATCCTGAACATACCCACTGAATAAGTGTTAGGAACACACACACACACACACACACACACCCCTATTGAACCACTCAGGGTAAGGATGAGATTTCCCTAATGGAAATTAATGTCTTACTATTAAGATTCTCACGTTCTCAAACTCCTCACACACAGCAGGTTTGTGTGCACAGTTACAAACCGAAAACACACAGCTTCTTAATTAATAATAACAGGTACCATTTATTGAGTGATGGTATTATTGAATGATGACTATGTGCCTGACCCTGTTCTAAGCCCTTTAGCCTAGAAGCTGGCGCCATAACAATCCCCATTGTTCGGATGCAGAAACTGGGGCACAGAGAACATAAGTCAATTGCCCAAGGTCTCACAACTGGTGAATGGCAGTCTGGTTCCAGAGCTCATTCTCTTTGCCTGTAGACTGTACTGCCTCTGCTGTATATCCAAACCAAAGAAAGGTTTCCAGAAAATACTAGACAGACTCTAAACCATGATGACGACAATGATGCTAATTAGGATAATCATTTATTGAGTCTTTGTACTCAGGCGCTATGGTAGGTTTTTTTCCCCACACATCTCATATAATCTTCATAATCTAGGGGCTTAGTTTTGATTATTTTTATTTTATAATGAAACCAAGGCTCAGAGAGCTCAGGTAATTTGCCTAAGGTCACAGAACTAGTTATTGTCTGACTTTGGATTCAAATGAGTCTATAGCTAGCGCTCATGCCATTGCCTAGCTTCCACACCTGCGTGAGTTCCTGATTCAGTGAGCAAAGAGAACCAAAATGTTCTTCTCAGCACTGCGATAGCCATTATCAATTTCATTATCACTAATTACCATTAGAACACTTGGTACCTTCCCACATCAGAGTGAAGCTGCGTGTGATATAATTTTAAAATACTTTAACATCCCTGGGTAAGATATGTGCTTTGTGACTTCGGAATGTATTATTTTGTTAGAATTATTCACTCTTCGGACCAGTGTCTGACTTCTGAATTAATTGCAAATGAATGGCAGGGTTAGAAGGGTATAAAATGTCTGAAGTTGTTCCTCCATATTTGCTCATAACTACTAGTTGGAAAAAAGGAACATAAAAATTCCTTAACTATATCGAAATTTACTGAGATCCAGTAAATGGAAACATAGTCAGATTCCAAGACAAGGAAGCAAAACTACAGTCCCAGGTGGTAGGATTTCTTGAGAGTCTAAGGCCCTAGAGCTTGAAGGAAGATCTGGGCACGTCTCCCTGTGCGGGCATCTGCCCAGCCAAGAAGGCAGACCGAGGACCACCTGCCCTCCGAGCGCGGCCCACTAGCTCAGTCTGCCTCATAGGGGTTGAGTTAGAGTTTTGAAGATGAGGCTCTGGTTTAGGAAGGTTAAGTCATTGCCCTAATGTCGTAAGACCAAAAAGAGGTGGAGCCTAAACCCACTCCCAGGCAGGTCTGAAATCGGCCAGGGCTCTTAACTACTGAGTAATCCCACTTAGGTTTCCAGGGAGCAAAGAGAATCTTAGCAGGGGGAAGCAAGGATCAGGGCCTTACTGATAACACAATGCCCCTGCTTGCAATCATCAGACCTACCGTAGCAAATTATCAGTGGAGTGAAACATGCTTTTCTAACTTAGGTTTAGATTTTAATGTTACTACTCCCAGGTGAACTTGCAAATTAAAAAAAAAATAGTTGATGTCAAGAACTCAAATGAAAGAATCTCTAAATATATTTAGAGTTTTCTCTTTGTATCCTTTCTGGGAAAGCTCCATAGAGATTTCTAAGGAATTGAAAATGGGCTGCATGTAGTAATCTTAGTTTACATGGTATTTTGAACATGGCGATTGCATTAACCTGATTCCAATGTATTCTTACCTTTTGTACCACATTAACACAAGCCAAAGGAGTATATACACACACACACACAGACACACACACACACACACACACACACACACACACACACAGCCCAAATAATATTTGCCTTTTGGGGGATATAATTTGACTACTTTGTAAGGCTCAGATAGGTATCTTTGTGCCAAGAGGTGCAGGGCATGCACCTTCTTCTGGGAAGATGATGGTGTTTATATTACAAAGATTTAAAAAAACCTATAGTGCTGCATCAATGTGGCCAATTCCTCTACTTTGGAAATGGGAGCATCTTGGTCTCTTCTTGCACTAGGAAGGGGACACAATGCCATTGGGATGTGTCTAAAACTCTCAGACAAGACTTTATAAGTGGCCATGATTGATTTCTCTGTTAAGTTTGTTTTACTTTAGGAGGTTTGTGTACCATATCAAATCAACTATTGTAACACATTTTCAAAAATAGAAAAATTAAGGTTAAAATCAACTCTTAATGTATGCAGAGTGCCAATCAAGCTTCAACTTTGAAGCCCATTTCCTTAGGGGTACTTGTGGGCTGGGAGCCCCTGGGATGGGGGCTGGCCAAGGCCACACAAAGCAGAGGTTGTAACTCTAGCCCCTGAGAAGGAGGTGGATTTGTAACCGGCAAAAATGATCAGCCATTAAATCATCAGAAGAATAAACTAATAATTCCTTCTAAACAATAAAGGATTTTCTTCATCACAAATACTCAAGAGGTGGGGCACAGTAGTATATTTTACTTGGACATGGAAACAAGAAAAACCAGAGGGAAATACACATCAATGTTATGCTGTCTATCCTGAACTCTTAAAATGTACATTTCAAGGGTCGGCGCCTGGCAGGAAGGAAACAGCGTGTTCTATTTGGGGCACAACTCCAGGAAACAGCTACCAGGACAGACCTGATCTGAGTATGGCTTATAGATATTAGAACCAACATTTCCTCCACATCAATACCCCATCCCTCCAGAAATCTTAATAGGCTTTTGAGAGCCTCCATTTAGAGCCGGCTGCATAAAATGATCCTTTGATGAAAAGGGATTGGAACAAGGGTTAAAGTCGACATTGAAAGGTGACCGTGGAGGGCACGGTATTCATACATCCCTCCTTTAATATGTGTGGTGTGCACCTGTGATAAGATGATTCATTACCTGGGTCCGCTCTTTGACAAGCTCCATCGTTCAGGCCTCAGGGGTTCTGATGGGACAATCCTGCACCCGCCCAGGAAATACAACAAGATCCACTTTTTTTTCCCCCCTGGGATGTGGATGGAGCCGGTTTAGCTTATAATGCATCTCTATTTACTCTTTATGTAAAATAAAGCAAGGTTCAAGATACCTCAATTCCTGTTCCCCCAGAGCAGGCCAAGCATAGAGGAGTAACCTCACTGCTGGGTAAGTAACCTGGGAGGAGAAATCTCGGCAAGGTTGCAAGCTCCTTCTCTCTTGTGTTTCATCATCAGAAACAGCAACATTTGAGAACCAGGTGCCCTACCCAGCGAGGCTGGGCTCTGTGTCAGGCCTTTGAATGGAGGGCACCCCTGACACCATCAGCTTCAACCTCTTTGGCTCTGCACGCAGCTTTCAGGTTTACTGGGGTCTTGAAGAGGGACCACCTTCATCAAGAAGCCCCATCAGCATCTTGGTGGTCGCGATGCGGGCACAAGAGCAGTGTGAGGGAACAGACGTGCCTGATGGTGACATGAGCAAGGTTCAATGGCCCTAGCAGGCTGAAGTAAATCTACAAGCACACGAGAGACCGCTGAGGGCTAGTGAGAATCAGCAAGTGGCTGGGCACGTCGGCGACTGGCGGTTTTGGGATAACTCTAACTCGCGCCTTTTCTTTTTTACCTTTACAGGACATCCTGAATTGTTTCCCATCACCTCCGCATACATCCAGAAATAGCTTTCTTAAGGTTAATTTAAAAATCTTAGAGCAATTAGGGAAGGAAACTTACCAGTCTCCTCCAATACCCAAATTTCCAAAAAATGAAAAAATAAAAAAAAGCAAAATGGAAATCTTACTTGTAAAATGTAACTGATTTTTCTTAGAAAGAGTCTCCCAATCCTGAAAAGTAATTTCTTCAATTAAGGTCATAACATGAGTCATCGTATAGAAATAAAACCAAAATAAAACTTAGTAGACATTCCAGGGGAAGGAAAAAAATCTTGCCTCTAAATTAGAGAAACACCTCCCAACCCTTCTCTTCTTGACGTTGCTGGTCAACATTATTTATTTGCCTTGTACAGCTGCGGTTACGTATCACTGTCATGCAAAAGAAATTCATTTCTTTTCCAAGTTCAATCTGCCATAAAAATTCACTCTTGTTCCCATCTCCCACTCACCTGTCCTTGTGCATTAGTAACTAGTTGACCCGTGACCCCCTGCAGACTGGAGAGGGCATTGCCAAAGGCCTGTGAACTTGCTATGGAGCCCATGGCTGCTGCTGCTGCAGCCGCTGCAGCCTGACTTGCTAGTGGATTATTAACCAGCTGCAAAGAGAGAAAAGATCAGGGTGAAACCACCAAGACACGCACAGCACACGGAAACAACATTCACTTGTGGGGGGGAAGTTATCGCTCCAAATGGCTCATGCAAAGGGCCTGGGGAACATTCCCTCTGAAGCTGTAGGGTTTGGGAAAGGTTGGAAATGAGGTTGGAAGGGAAATATTCTCCATCAACACTGGGCTGCTTAATGGAGCCTGGGTTTGGGAGTCGCCCCAGGAGGGAGGGAGGTGGGCCCCAGGGGCGAGGTGGGACCTTAGGATCTTCCCAGGTGGAGAAATAATTTTGGAGAAGTCCCTGGGTTTTGTTTGCTAGACTAAATAAAACTTGGAGAAAAGGTCTTCTTTGCTTGAGGCAACCAGACTGAATGTGGGATTAAAACAGGATGGGAGTAGGGGTGGAGGAGAGGAAGAGATTTTAGGGATTTATGCAAATGAGTTTATCATTTTCATTTGTGAATTGCAGTTTCATATCTGGTAAGGCAGACGCCTCACCCCACGTCCTTCTCCAAGGATTAAGGAAATCAAAGTCAGGAGAAATAGAAATCTCCAGCCTCTGTGCTCTCAGAGGCTAAGTCTAGGGTTGGGACTTTTGGGGGGGCTCACTTGAACCATGGAATTCAAGGTCAAGGACAAAGGTCCCCTGGTGAATGGTCAGGTTGACATCAGCTTGCTGTTTTAGCTCATATACGGCCTTCCCTTGGCCTCTTTGCTGGGACAAGAGTGAGCTAGGGAGGAATTTGACAGGGGAATAGTGGCGGGGCGGGGTGGGGGGAATGGGGGGTGGAGAGAGCCACCCAAGGAGGAGGTTATGGCTGCCAAATTTTGTTTTTCTGTGGAGGCCAATTCAATATTCTTTATCCTGCCAATTTTCCACGTCACAGGTTTTCAGGCCTTCTGACCATGAGGCAGAAGTGTAGCTTGAACTAAAATCTGCATTTAGGTTAATGACTAGATATAAATGCAAGAAACATTTAAACTATTTTCACAGTAATGGTTTTGATACATGAATTTCATTTGTATTTATTCCAGGGTGTTATTTTTTCCCATATAGTTCCTCTCAAGTACAGCAATTGTTGTGTATAATAATGCATTTTCCATCACCAGTTCCCACATCCATGAAATTCCTGCATTTAGCAGAAACCTGCCAAGACTAAGACTTGGTAGAAAAAATTTAATGCCATACTTAATTCAAGTCCTAGAAGCTCTTTTAAAGATGCCTCTTTTTTTTTTTTTAACTTTCCTCTTTACTTTCTCTTTACTGTCTCAGTTTCTTGTCTTTTTCTTTCTTTTCCTTTTTTCCCCCCTCTTCCTCTCAAAACATATTTTATTACTTAATTCCTTTGGAAATTTGCCTAGAGTTTATGTCATCTGATGAGGATGGAAATACTAATTGTCAAGAATTTAATAATTCTCCCCCCCATTAATGTGATATCCTTATCTTATTGGTTTCTTTATTCTTTTATAACAAAATTTCACAGCACTAGTTCTACAGTCATTCCATTGACCCAGCACATTTTTTTAGCAATGAAAATCCACTTTCAGCTCATTACATTATGTGTCTTTTGCCTTTATCTCTCTCCTAAAAGATAATGATTTTCTTTTTAAGGAGAAAAAAAAATTCTCGTTCATTAGCCTAAAGAGAAACCCTGTCTTATCCCAGATTACCACCATGGGATTTAAAATTCAGGTTGGCCTTGATCTTGGTTTTCTGAGGATATTTGTACAGTGTATAGGAGGCAAGTAATGGTATATGTTGAATGGAAACTCTCCTTGTTTTTGGCTTGACTCCCTAAAGTGGAAGAGTTTATAGTGTGTTCTTTTTTTTTTTCACTTCCAAAGTGAGAAGACCACTTGAGGAATACCTTCCCCAAATGGCCAGGATGGACACTGCCCAGTGGTACACAATTCTCAGGTCACGTGCCGGTTGCTATGTTTACATTTCTTTTCATGCAATACGAGCTGAAATCACAATGAAATTCCTGAATTTCAGGGAGCTCTCAAACTAAGCTTCTTAATCTCAAAGAAAGATTAAATTATGTGCAATTTGGTTCTAATGTTGAATATGCAATTTTGTCCACGAATTTTGAGTGAAACATTTAAATCAGCACCTACAGAATGCTTTCTAAAGAAGATGAGACAATGCTTCCTATTTAATGAAGAGAAAATATTTTTAAAAATTGGAAGACATTTCCTTGACATCTAGGTCAATCAAAAATTCACATAGGAAATTTTGGAATTACTCTCTGGATACAATACAATAGTGTAGATGAGAATTCCCAACATTTAGGACACTAGTGTGTTGTTCAGCAATAGTCCCATGTAGTCACAATAAATTCAGGTATTATATAAAGGATAAACTGTTGTTCTGAATATGAAACAAAGCACCTACTTAAAATCAGCCTCTGGGCCTTTGTGTTATGGGGCCAGGAATGGGAATACTTCTACTGTTTTGGAAGATTGCTTCAGCGACCATGGATGTACAGATTTTATTTTTTTAACGTTTACTTTCTCTATATCCCGGTCCTAGATTGAAATCCAATCTGTTCCTGTTTTTGCAGCCTTTCTCTCTTAATGAAGCAAATGCCAACTCGATGGCTCTCTTACTTGCATCCCTAGGTCTTTGTGAAGGGTGCAGGGCTCTGGGGAGATGCCTTGCTGGCCTCTGGAAGCAGAGTTGGAAGTGAAGGCAGGGGAGTGAGTGGTATATACAAAGACCAGGTACAAGTCAATCTGTAAGCTGACAGCATTTCAGATGGACCGTTGGTGTTGTCGATGGATGCAGCTTCCTAAATATCTTTTGGCTTTTCTGTCTGGAACTGCCAAGGCAGGGATGTAATATGCATTAAGATACGTGGCAGGAACGGTCAGGAAACCATAAGTGTTCTCTTCATCACCTTGGGTCATGTCACTCTGTATTGTCCCCAGTCATGTCCTATTAGCAGTGTTCCTCTCAATACTCCTTCTTGATTGGAGACTCGGGGGAGATTTGGACAGTGGGGAGCCCAGGCACAATAAATGCGTATAATGAGCATGTTAACGTTCTAGGACCAACTGGATATTTTGAAGGCACTGCCAAGCGTATGCCTTCAGATCTTTCATTGCCAATGTACCTAACCAGCAAAGGATGGCCCAAATGAGGTCTGACTGTGCTACATACTTGTGTTTGCAATAGACCAGTTCGAAAGACATGCTGCATTCTGGTGCACGCTTGTTTATAAATGTGGTAGCTCTCAAAGCAGGATTTGCATAGAGAGTCCTCATGTCACATCCAAATGGATTCTGGGCCCTGAATACATCAAGCTATAGTTCTATAAGTCTCAGATAGTCTAAAAACCTACTAATAGAAACACTAATTCCTTAAGACAGCCCCCTGAATTTTTGAGAATAAAAATAACAGGATAATAAAACAAAAATAGTTTTGTACCGGTAAGCAAAGGCTTCAAGCCTCACAGAGCCTGGTCTATCCATTCATGCAGTTGAGGGCATCCGCTCTGAAACCAGACTGCCTTGGCTTGTGACTTTAAGTAAACCATGCTTCCTACTCTCATAGGTTAAATGGGTGTAAACAGGGCACCCCTGTTCACAGAGTTATGATGAGAATTAGATGAGATAACATATGCGAAAAAGTTTTGGAATGATACTTGGCACATATCGTGTTCTAAAACAGTGCTACAGCTATTATCCTCGGAGTTCATAGTGTGCAGCAGGATTCTGAACTAAGTTATCAGAATTAGAACTCACCTCCACAAATATCTTTTTACTCTGGAAGTAATGTGAACACAGTAACTGTAGTCTCCATTTTTATACTTTAAATTGTACTTTCTAATTTTATTTTGCTTATTTTAAAACAGTAGCTTGAAGAAAGCGATTAGCTAAGTAATGTGATTGTTAGATGAGATGAGTTGTATAATTGAAAAGATAAATATGGGGTTTAAAGATATTTCAGACTGGAGGACATCTGAAAGAAGTAGTTAAAGCATGACATCACCTGCTGGCCTCTCATATTTGATCACGTATAGAGAAATGTATAGAGAAAGCAGTGTTTTGATTCTGAGGCCAGGGTAGGTAGGTGGCAGAACAGCAAGAGAAGATCTTTTTTTTTTTCTGGTCTGTTTTATCTCACGCTTAGTTTACAACATTTGTTAGGGTTCCAGAAGGACACCCATTTTGCAGTTTAATTCCTGCCTCATGTCAAACTATGGTGAATGAGGCTATCCCACAGTTGTTAATTTGATAGTGAAGGCATGCAGGAAGTAGATTCATAAAAAACATTTCCCTTGGGATTTGCAATGGTTGATTTCTCCATTCACGTATTGATAGGGATATTGGGTAGTCATCTCATAATGAGAATAAATCCATATTCCCAAATCCATAGGGCTCTATGCACATCCTTATTATCTGTGGACACTAAATGGTGATGGAAAGAAAAACTCTGATACAGTTTCTTCAAGGAGGACTCTTAGATGGTGTCATCTGTGTGACGTCACATAAACGTCACCAGAGATAATGTGGCGGGGTATCCAAATCTAGCCCCGTCTTCTCTTTCTCTGAAAGACTCACATTCTACAGCCTGCTAAAGAATTCAGGTTTCTTGAATCTGAGCCTTAGTAGTCACAATATTGTTCATGAAAATTTGCTGATTACATTATTCTATTAGTATAAATCTTATTTACAAAACTACGGCAGCATAACGCAGCACTGTGGCTGTAGTGTTATATTCTATGTCTATGTCTTTGTACCAGGAGGACCTTATGAATGCAGCCGGCTCAAACCTTTCTTTGGAGCATAATTGCTCATGATCTATAGTTTTATCATTCTCCTCATGAGCTATGTGAGTTTTATAGAATATGGATTTTGGAGCAGCTCTTTTTGCTACTAACTTTTCAATTTAAAACTCTGAAACTGTGGTATCATTTGTTTTTAAATGAGGATGTTCATGAACACATTCATCACAATTCATTCCCCATTTAAGGTCTGAAATGACT